TTACCCTCATTTTTCTTGACTCTGCCTTGCCAGCATTGCTTTTGTATGAGAAAATGCTGAGTCGCTTGAAACTGTAGCCTGCTCCCTCTTGGGTCCTCAGGTACCCATTCTTCCTCTTACGTGCAGGAATTGGCATTTAGGCAAAGATGGCTACCATGGTAATGGAAGGTTATAGATGATGTCCCATGCCGAGGTGACTGGCTTGGCAGAAAGGCTGCAATGGGTGAGGTACAGAGCCTCCTCTCTCCCTGGAAGTATTATTCTTTCAGGCAGTGTGCCAAAAGAGTAGGAAGATGTCCAACCAAGATCCAAGATCAGCCTCCCTGTTCTGTGTTCTCATCTGCAAATAGCAGTGGTAACACCCATTGTGTCTACTGCCTACTGGGTTTAATGAGATGGTCTATGCCAACCACTGACACCATTCCATCCATTCCTGTTTCTCAACTTGTTATGCTGGGAAGACTGAAACCTCAAAAACACTGAAAAGAAAGGACAATAGACTCCCATATAATAGATGCCCATATGCTTGTTTTATTTGTCTACTTGGGCTGCCATGGGAGCTACCACAGACTGCCAGCTTAAACAATGGATATATTTTTCTCACAGTGCTGGCTGCTGAAAGTCCAGGGCAAGGTGCTGTAGGGCTGGTTTCTGGTGAGGTTCCTGGCTTGCAGAATTCATCTTCTCGATCTGTCCTCATGTGGCCCTCCCTTGTGTGTGTGCACCCCTGCTGTCTGTTTCTCTACATAAGGACACCAGTCCTGTTGGATTAGACATCCACCCCATGATCTCATTTAACTTTTTCTCCTAATCTCCAAATAGTTATATTGGAGCCTAGGGCATCAACATAGATTTGGGGGGGGACATACAGATCAGTCTGGAGCAGCACATATTTATAAATTAGGGGAGTTTGTGGGCAGGGTACATGGTGTGCATGTGCACATGGATTGTGTATGTCATGTGTGAACACAAGGATGTGTGTGTGCACATGTGTGTGTATACTTGGATGTGTGAGTGTGGAGGGTAAGTTTGGCATTGAGAGTCTTCTATTGCTTTCCACATTTTATTTTATTGAAATAATATAATTGAAGAAAAATTAGATATCTTATCAGACACAATAAAAACAAAATTAAAACTCTAAGTCATTACAAAAGCAGTGGTGGTGCAAACCTTTAATCCTAGCACTCAGGAAGCAGAGGCAGGCAGATTTCTGTGAGTGAGGCCAGCTTGGTCTACAGAGTGAGTTCCAGGACAGGCTCCAAAGCTCCACAGAGAAATCCTATCTCAAAAAAACCAAAAACCAAACTCAAAACAAGCAAACAAACCAACCCTTGTATTTCTGGCTTTCTTCCAGACAATTTTCCACCTTATTTTTGGGGTCTCTCACTAGACCTAGAACTCCTGTCTTGGCTAGCCTGGTTGGCCAGTGAGCCCTTGAGGAGATCTACATGATTCTTACCCCTCTTCCAGTGCTCGGTTTCATTACAACACCTGGCTCCATGTGGGTGCTGGGGATCCAAACTCAGGTCCGCAGGCTTGCTTAGCAAACAAGCTCCCCACTCAGCCTTGTAACTTGTAGTAGGAATACACACCACCTTTCCGTGCTATGCATCCTGCATGTGTGAGAGCATGTGTGTTGCCCAGTGTGTGAAACGTTTTCATGGATGTGTAGAGTAGAAACCTCCCTCTGAATACAGAGGGTCTATAAGTGTGTGCATGTTACAGTCATCAAAGGTTCTATAAGCTTTCTTTGCTATTTCTTCCTTAAAATAACTTTAAAGAGAAAGACATTTTCCAGTCCTAGATGGAGCTGAGGAGACAGCTCAGCAATCAAGTGTGGATACAGCTCTTGCAGGAGACCTGACTTGCATTCCCCACACCCGTGGCAGGTGGCTCACAAGTACCTGCAACTCCAGCTCCAGAGCGCCCGATAACCTCTTCTGGCCTGAGCACTACGCACATACACATACCCACCCATCCACACGTACACATAATTAAAAATAAAAATAAAATATTTAAAATCAAAACTTAAAACTTTAGGAAAACTGTTAACTTCGACTTATACATATCATAGAAAGTACATAGAGTCACGGCTATATAAATGACAAAAGCCACATCCTAAGAAACAGTATAGGAAACTAGCAAGGGCAGTGACTAGACCACTGCAAGCGATAAGCACACAAGCATGTTTTCACAGTTTTGTGTCAGTCATACACTGTTTGTAAAATTGAAATGCACCTAGGGGTGGTGCTGCACACCTGTAATCCCAGTATTTGGGGGGTGGAGGCAGGAGAATCAAAAATGTAAGGCCAGCCTTAAGATACTAGTTCCAACCCAGCTAGACTACATACGACCCTGTCTCAAACCATAAAAATAAACTAGGACAATCTGCACTTAAAACAATAGAGAGCTGGGCAACATATGTGTTACAATAACTGGAGGGTTGGTAAGTGATGGCAGTGCCCTTATTCTGAGCCAAGTTCCTCCCAGTTCTCTGAGTGTGTGTCATAATAACTTTTTTTTCCTCGCACATTGCCTAGGTAAGCATATTCAAGTTAGGACAAACGTCAGTATGAAGGAATTTCAGCTCTCAGGTGATATATGCTGATCAGTGGAGAAATTCCTCTCATTGTACCAAAAATTGAAGAATCAACTATATTCAGGAAAAATTTCAAGGGTATGGTGACACATGCCTTTAATCACAACACTGGGGAGACAAAGGGAGGCTGGTTCAGGACCAGCTTGGTCTACATAGTGAGTTCCAGGACAGTCAGAACTACATATTGAGACCCTGTCTTAAAAGCCAAACAAAGAAAAGAATGGCCCTCAATTTCAAAATCACAGTTTTTCTAACTTATGCCTTTTCCACAAATATAGAATGATCCCAAGAATGCTTGGGGCATCTTGTAATTATCCAGAACTTGCTCACCCCTGCCCTACCCTACACACTTGTTTGTCTAATGTACTAAAGGCTTCCTGTAAAACCAAGAAGTGATTGCCTGTCAAGAATGAGGGCCTGAGTTAAATACCCAGAATCCACATTTTTTAAAAGGCAGGATTATGGTATATGCTTATAATAAAAGTAATGTGGACCCAGAGAGAGACCTATCCCTGGGACTCAATGGCCAGCCAGCCTAGCCTGCTTAGCAAGCTCCAGGCCTGTGAAATTCTGTCTCAGAAAAATGAGGCATTGGGGCTGGAGAGATGGTTCGACAGATAAAAGTACCTGCTGGGCAAGCATGAGACCTGAGTTCAAACCCCAGGAACCCACACAAAAGCCAGACATGTAGTACAATCATCTGTAATTCCATGCAAATAAAAGGGAAGATGGAAAGCAAAGACAGAAGACTCCTCCTGGAGTACACAGGAGAAAAACAGACAAAAGATTCTGGACCAACACTCAAGGTTGTTGCTCTACACATGCATGTGAACCTATGTGTGTGTACATGCACCCCCCCCACTTTCCTGGGTTTCCTGCCTTTTTTATTATTTTCAATGAGTTTCCATATTTCCCTGCTCACTACGGAACTGCATGCAAAGCCCCACACCCAAATGTTTAAGACTTCCTGCACTGGCTATTTTGAAGAAGCAAGGGCATGTATAATGATTATGGGAGGAGGGAGCCGGGGGCTCCTTGTGGAGCCCCATGCATGGGGGTCAGTTTGGTTTTGGTGGAGGCTCCTGGCAGCCTTTTGTAGGGGTCAGGTTGGGCCATTCTGCCTGTATGTGGTTCTGTTTTTGGCATCTGTGAGAAGCAATGAAACAATCCATGTTTTCACTGTTGGCAGCACTGGGCTAGGAGGCCCCTGCTCTGCTTCTGAGAGTACTGCCAGTCTGGATCCATGTACTGTGTCCCCAGAGGTGACCGAGCCAGGGAAGCACCCCCAGGGATCCAGGGGGCCAGAAGGTTCTCCACTGCCCAGTTCATCACCGCCCCAGGAACAGGCGTGCCACTCAGCCTCCATGCTCTTCACAGAGTGTCCCCCAGAAGCAGCTCCTGAAGATGGTACCCTTACCCATCACCCTAGAAGGGAAGCCTCCCCCAGTATCCAAGGGGATGCCTTAGCAACGTCTACTCCTGAAGGGGATGGTTCCACAAAGCACACAATGGTTGCCACAGCCCCCAGTGCTGAAGAAGAGGGACAGAACTCAAGTTCCAGCTGCACTGACCGATTGCCAGAAATTTCCCTAGTGCCTCCCCGGGAGTCAAGAACAGAGCAGCTGTGTGGAGAGGGTGACTGGCCTGGTGGTTTTCAGTCCCAAGAGGATGTAGATGAATGCTTGCCCCCAGAGTCTGCCACTAAGGCCCCTGCTGCCACCCAACTGGGGATGGAAAGCTCAGATGCCCTAGGGGAGTCCCCCCCAAAACTTGAGACCCTGGTCCCACAAGATGCAGTCCTAAGATCGTCTGACAAAGAAGGCGGTGGAGTGGAGGCGCTACCTACGTATTCAGCCAAGAACCTGGAATTTCTCGGAGGCTGCTATCCTTCTAAAAGCAACTCGGGGACTAAGCCTGGAGCTGGGACAAACGCTGGCTCCCAGGAAAGCTGCCAGCAGAAAGCAGAAATGCATCTGCCAGAGGCAGAGCCGCCCTCAGACCCACTAGATTTTGCCACAGCACCAAAAGACAGTGGCTCCTGGAAGGAGACTCAGCGAGACACCAGCGATGTTCAGAGCCAACCACAGACAGGGCCATCAGGAACTGAGCCCCAGCAAGTTGTCTGGGTGGCATCAGGCAGCCAACCGGATGGGAGCTTTCTCGGGAGCACTGAGGCCCCTCCATTCGCTAGAACAGAGGAAACTCATACAGCTTCGAGTCCCACTGCACGCCCCGTGGCTTCAAATTCTGTCACCTTAGAAGAAGCCAGCGTGGTCGAGGAGGCAGATTCTGAGGCTAAGATGGCAGTTTCTGTGGATCTGGCCACAGGACAGGTAGATACAGGGGTGGTAGGGCTGGAGCCAGCATCAGATCCGGGAAGAACACAAGAACAACCAGAAGGTAGTCTCCGAGGGGCCCCTGCCCCTTTATTGCAAGGGCAAAATGATTCAGTCCTAGAAAGGCTGTTGCTGCCAACTTTGTCTCATGGGGTTTCAAATGAAAGTTCTAGAAAGTCAGTGGGACCAACTGATGGCCCTAAGGCCCCTGAGAATACTGAAAATAGGGTCATGGTTATAGAGGAAAGCAGATCACCCAGAGACAACCCTAAGAGACAGCGAGAAGCCACCAGAGTCCTCGATGGTACGCAGTCTGGGAACCATGAGGAAGAGAGGTCCCGTGCCTTTCACAGCGAGCTCCATCTGGAGTCTGGCAAAGATGAGCTTTCAAAGCCACATAGTGACTCTCCCAACTCAGGCTCAGCACAGCCACCTAGACAGGCAGTTGCTGGCCACGAGGAAGGGCCCCACGCTGGGTCAGCAGAGGCAGTGGTTGTTGAATCCCACCTAATTGACACATGCACCTCACTGCACAAACGCCCTGAGGAGGGCCCCATCCTGTCCTCAGCATCAGACGGAACTGGTGAGCACGTTTCTCTCCAACCAGCCATCTGCGAAAGTTCAGGATCTCAGACCAAAAGCCCCAGCATACTTCGGGGCAGGGGAGAATTGGGAACAACAGAGTCACTTCCTGCTTTAGACTCTGAGAAATCAGATTTCCTGTCTGCTCCAGCGGTGGAGGAGGTGCCCGGAGCTGGGGAGGTGAAGAATATATTGGAAATAAAGAAGAGCCACTCGGCCTTGCAGAGGCCCTGCGGCTGTGATGGGGAAGGCTTGCTAATATCCTCAGGCCAACCTTGTGGGCTGCAGAAGGATGAACCTGGACAAGAAGTCCACAGTGGGAAGAGCTCAACAGTGGGCCATGGACTCACGCTCAGTCTGGAACAGGACTGTCAGAGAAAGCTGTACTGCCCAGAGGACAGCCTCCCACCACCTTCTGAGAACTCGCTCCAGCCGTCCCAACTGGACCCAGAAGCATTCACCTTTTCCATTCTCCGTGAGAAGGCCCAATCACCTGCAAACGGGCAAGGGGCTTGTCCAAGTGGCCCGGGTCTGAAGAAGCAGGGTACAAATCCTTCCCCAATTCTAGCGCCCATGGAAGGGGAGCCTCGGGTAGGTGTGAGCTTGCCCACTCATGGAGGAAAGGAACAGGCTTCAGAACTTCTGCCCAAAGGCAGCCTGTGCAGTACTCCAAGTTCATCATCCAAGGAGACTGATCTGGGAAAGGCGCCATCAGAGGAGTCGGACCCATCAACCTCACCGGGACAGGCCTTACCCGCACTAAAGGTAAATGAGCAAGAGGGCACAGGCTGTGGCAGTCAGCCGTCGGAGATCCTGCATCCTGCAGAAGACACCTCTCTTACAGGAAACCTGGGTGGAAAGGACAGTTGCTGCATCCGGCAGGGGCTGAGCAAGTCCCAACAGGAACTGGCTGATGCTTTGAAAGCAGGTAGCCAGCGTGAAGAAGCACGTTGTGGGGACTCAGGCATTTCTGAAGCAGGTGATGTACCGCCCCTGCCTCAAGGCTTGGGTAAGACAGACGGGGCAAGTAAAGACATAGTGGAGGCCCCGCCTTGTCCACCTGACTCAATAGCTCTCCTGCATGCAGCACAGTGTTCTCCAGCCCCAGTGCCTACCAGCCCCAGAGTCACACCCACCCGGGATGCGCTAGAGAGTGAGGCCTGTGATGAAAGCCAGGAAGAGTCGGCCCCAAGGCTGGAAATGGAGCAGCTGGCCACCTTCGGTGCAGAAGCCCAGGGGCCTCTTGGAACTTTCCCCAGAGCGGAGGAGCAAGATGGTGGGTCTGCCGAGGTGAATGTTGATGCCAGCGAAGGAGACTCTGGGATGCAGCAGGCTTCCGAGGGAGCGCAAGCTGCTCTGCATGGTGACTTCTTTCAGACCGAGCAGTGCCCCACGTCTGGGAAAGAGGCTTACACCTCCACCCTGACTGAGCCGTGCCAACTTGAACAGCTTGAGCCCAGCTGCGGGGATGCCTTGCTGCCAGCTGGAGAATCGGATAGGATTCCCGGAAGTACAGAGGACATTCTGGCACTGGGCACTGTTTCAGACCCACGGAGGCTGCTGCCGGCTGGACCACCTGAAGAGACTCTGCCCGATGCCCCTTACCTACATATCAACAGCATTGCCAGGGAAGCTGCAGGAGATGGTAGCATGAGAGCCGTTTCCTCTGAGGGGCCCAGAGTATCTCATGAAAGTCCCTGCCCCATAAAGGAGCTCCCACCTGTTTTGGAAAATGGCACTCCTGGAAAGGTATCAGATGTCTCCTTCACTACACTCTTGCAACCAGGAACTTCAGGTGGGGAAATCCCTGCAGCAGGGGCTAGCAGTGGAAGACCCCAAGCTGGAACCACAGACGGACCTGTGAATCTTATGCCCTACCTGGACAAGATGACTTACCTGGCTCCAAATGAGCAGATGACAAGAGAGATGCATGTGACTGCAACTCCAGAAGCAAATGCCAGGTCCTCTGAGGCTCCAGCATCCCCTGTCAGTGAGGATGCAGCAGGAGAGACAGGGGGCAGCAGGGAGAGGGCAGTAGAACTCACCCCAGATCTGAGGGCTGGTGCGTCAGGGAGCTCCAAGCAGACCAGCATAATTGCAGGGCTTCCTGACTTCAGAGAGCACATCACCAAGATCTTCGAGCAGTCTGTGCTTGGAGCCCTGGTTACCAATCGGACCCAGAGTATACCTACTGAAAAGGCAGGAGCTTCAAGGAATTCTCTGGTTGAGGGCCCCAGCATATCACTGAACCCAGAGAAGCTTCTAGACGGGGCTCAAGGAGTGGCTGCTGCCCATCTCCCTGTACCTCCTGCTGGACTCCAGGTAGAGAAGAAGCAAGAGTTGATTGTTGAGGCTGAGATTTCCCATCTGGTTCCCCAGGATCCAGCACCAGAGAAGCTGGTGGGTCTGGCCAAGACAGCCTTGGAGGAGAACCTTCCAGGTGCCAGTATTGAGGCAGAAGTGACCTGTGACTCACTGATGGTGACGAGTGAGAAGCTAGAGGGGACTGGGTTGCCTGATCAGGATGTTCAGGCTCATTCACAGCAGGGAAGAAGCAGGCAGGAATCAGCATTGGGTCTTCCCTCCTCTCTAGCTGTTCAGGGGGTAACAGCAGCTCCAAGCTTCCCCATGGCTCCTCACAGCCACACAGAAGAACCTTCTGGAAAAGAGCACTTAGAAACACTGGTCAGCAACAGTCAACACAGAGGCGATGGTGCCTGGGACCTCGCTGGCAACAAGGATTCAAGTAATCTACCAGGACCGACCTGTGCCCCAGAAGGCTCTTCTCCCCACGGAAGTCTTTTGACTGTACCTGAATCTAACAGTGAGCCGTGGATCCCTGCCACACCTGGCGGTGGAAGAAGGCCGGAAGCTGCTGTCAGTCCTGCAGAAATGCAAAACATGCTGGGCTACCAGGATACCCCCAAACTGCTGGCTGGAGAAGCACTGGATACTACTCTGGGGCCTAGCAAAATGTCGGGAGTCACTGATGCAGCAGCAGGTGACATCACACCAAGCGCAGCTGAGTCGTGGGCATGTGTGTCTGGTGACCTCCTTGAAACAGGTACTACAAGGATGCTTCCCGCTGTGGCAGGTGACTCAGCACTGCCTGGGAGCTGTCGGGACCCAGGATGCTCCAACAGGGCTGTGACAATGGAAGACACAGCCACCCTTCAAGGGGACAGCCAGGTCGGATACCAGCAGGCCAAGGAACAGCTTGGGCCTCAGATTCCTGCTCCTGCAGGGTATGGGAAGATGGGTGTCTCTTCAGCTCCAGAACCTGATGGAAGCAAAGTCATGAAGCTGCATCCCTTGGCTCCAGAAGAACTCCACACTGACAGGTACTTTGGTGCAATGCCCATAAGTTCAGATCCAATATGATCCCTACCCTGATGTTAGTGAATCAAACAGATGGGGGATGCTCAGGAGGCTAAATTTCTTGCATCTGAAGGGTTAAGTGGCCCCACTTACCCTGGCTGGATATGCTAGGATTCTGAAAGGTGTGAGAGGGGTGGCTGGAGGTATGGGAACTATGTAGTTGACATGTCTTGTTCCTTTCCTTGTGTGCTTTAGCTTATCTAAAAGCACTGGAAAAGGGGGAAGCCTTGGTTGGCTGTGTGTGATTGGGTGATAGGTTTTAGGCAGTTGGTCATGTTCTCTGGGGTGCAGTCACAGCTGCTTTCAAATGTGGAGTTGTTTAGGTGACAGTACCCTATGTGATTCAAAATAGCTCCAAGCCCATCACTGCCTAAAGACCTCATCTTCCTGGGGATGTTGGTTTAGTGGCCACTTAATCTTTAATGGGAAATGTGCTTTTGAAAATAGGATTCGGGGAAGGGGCAGCACTTTCCAACTATCTGATCCTAGCAATCGATCTCTTTCCTCATCTCAGAAAGAGCCCAGAGCCTGGCTCAGCCACCTTACCTTCAGTTCCTGAGTCTTATGGCCTGCAAGTCTTTTCAGCAGAGGCCAGAGAGTCAGGAGGACCAGAAAGGTCAGTGACACAGAGGCTTTGGGAGTCTGTGGCACCTTCCTTAAATGCATTGTTGAGTTTGCAAAGGATAGCAGCGCTCGTCTGTTTCAGAGTGTCTCAAGTAACCCATGCTAGCCTCAAATTCAGTAAGAAGTTGAGGATGCCTGTGAATTCCTCTGCTTCCCAAGTGCTGGGTTGTAGACATACACCACCATACTTAGGCTGAGAGCAGTGTATGAGCTGTTGTATAGGAGAGGCAGCTGGGAATAGTGAGGCACATCTGTAGTGCCAACATTTAGGAAACTGAGGCAGGAGGATCATGAGTTGGGTCTGAGCTCCAAGACCCTGTCTCAAGTGTGTGTGGGAGGTGGGGCAGATGAGCATTTCTATGCCATGTGCACTTCAGCAGTGCCTGCAGGACCCAAAGCACCTTTGTTGCCGAAGGGATATTTGCTTTCATGCCTGAACTTTTTACCTTGAAAAACAAAACGACTCCACTAAGCTACAATTCACACAGCATATAATTCACTCATTTTAAGTCTAGATACACATGCCCACACACACACACACACACACACACACACACACACACATCTTAATGTGCTTAGAGTTCTATGGTGAAGGCTATAATCAATTGCAGAACTCTATCACACACAGACATTCCAGATAAGCCCTATAGCCCTTAGGTGCCACACCTTAGTCCTTAGCATAGGCACCCACTAATCTAGTTTGATGCCTTTGGAGGCCAACACTGCAAGAGTAGCTCATTGCATCAGAAGCCATACTCCACTGGATCTTCAGATAAGGAGGGAGGACAACAAATGGAACCATGTCGCTCAGTCCTTACCCCTTGCTCTACACCAAGTGAATGTCGCCTTGGTCCTATAGAAACTGCTGTTTAAGTTCATCCTTACTGGGTAGGGAGACACTGTGGACATGACTTTGTGCATAAGCATTGCTTAATAAACTAGACCTTTGGTTATTGAAGTGCTGTGTGTGTGTGTATGTATGAGACACACACACACACAGAGACAGAGAGAGACAGACAGAGAGAGATAGAGATAGAGATAGAGAGAGAGAGAGAATGTGCCTTTAAGAGTCTAAATTAGTACCTGTGCCGTGCCTCCTACCAACAGCTGTGGGTGTTTTGCAAATTATTTGATTCATATTTTCACATGCTGAAAGAATGCATGGTCACCTGTTTTTCGAGTCTCAACACTTCCCCCAGCACCCAGCTGCCTCTGCTGCCCCACAAGGATAACCCCTATGACTCTGGGCCAGCACATGCGGCCTGAGCTATCCAAACAGACCTTATGCGAACATATGCCTGCAGCACTCACTGCATGTAGCGCTTGCATTCCAACTTTAGGTATAGGAAAAATATCTGTGTAGCCAGGAAATCTCTTCTGTCCCAGGAAAGAAAGACTGTATCAACACCTTCCTTCTCAGCATCCACAGGCATGTGATCATCTTCCTGGGGAGGCTTGGGACCAGACACAGAGTAGTCCCATAAATAGTTCATGGCTCATTGTTTTAATCACTTTAGAATTTAAAATTGTATTTTCTAAGTAAACATTACAAATTAAGGTTTTTTTTAAATACAACGTTTGTGAAGTATAGGAAAGCAAAAAAGAAAACAGAGAACTGGAGAGGTGGACCTGAGTTCTATTCCCAGAACACCACCTGGGGTGGGGGAAGGGTGGCTCACAACCACCTGTAACTCCAGCTCTAAGAGCTCTGACTCCTTCTTCTGGCCTCTAAGGGTACCTGCACTCACATACACACACCCAGACACCCACACCCACATTCAAACCACACACACACACATGTACATAATTAAAAGAAAGAATAAATCTTAAGAAAAATTACAATTGATGGGCAGTGGTAGCTCATGACTTGAATCCCACACTTGGAAGGCAGAGGCAGGCAAAGCTCTGTGAGTTTGAGGCCAGCCTAGTCTATAGAGTGAGTTCCAGAACAGCCAAAGCTACACAGGGAGATCCTGTTTCAATAAACCAGAAGGAAAAAAGAAAGGAAGGAAAGAAGGAAGGAAGGAAGGAAAGAAGGAAGGAAGGAAAGAAGGAAGGAAGGAAAGAAGGAAGGAAGGAAAGAAGGAAGGAAGGAAGGAAAGAAGGAAGGAAGGAAGGAAGGAGAGAAGGAAGGAAGGAAGGAAGGAAAGAAGGGGAGAAGGAAGGAAGGAAGGAAAGAAGAAAAGGCTGGAGAGATGACTTAGGGGTTAAGAGCACTAACTGCTCTTCCAAAGGTCCTGAGTCCAATTCCCAGCAACCATATGGTGGTGGCTCACAACCATCTGTAATGAGATCTGGTGCCCTCTTCTGGTGTGCAGGCAGAACACTGTATACATAATGAATACTTTTTTTTAAAAAGAAAAAAAAAGAAAAATTACAATCACACCACTAGTTATTGTTATTTAAATTGGAGAACAAATTCACCTATTGAAATATTTAGGTCCTGGCCCCATGTTATCAAAACTCTTTGCAGATTCAGGCCTTAGCAGTCAGCACAGGGTGATTGATTCCAGTCTTCACTGTCTTGGGTCTTAGGTCCAATGTGGCAGCTGCCATCTACCATGTGATGTGTGAATGTGTGTGTGTCTCTGTGTGTGTTTAAGGCAGCACATATCATGTGTTGATGATCTAGTGTTTTTTAAAAAGAGTGCAAAATATATGATTAATTTGTTTTTATGTTGCATCTCTGTGGATTAATAATATCTAGAATTTGGGGGTGTGTGAAAACATGAGTTTCATTTCTTTTTTGCATTTTTTATGAGGCTCCCCCAAATTTTAAAAAATACATGGGGGGGGCCTGGAGAGAGATGGCTCAGTGTTTAAGAGCATTTGCTGCTCTTGCAGAGGACCCAGGTTTGGTTCCTAGCACCTGCATGATGGCTTACAGCTGGCTCTACCTCTAGTTCCAGGGGATCTGGCACCCTCTTCTGGCTTCTTCGGGCACCTGGCACACAGGCAGTGCACATACATATGTGCAAACAAAACACTCACACACAGAAAATAAAATATTAAAATAAAGTGAAATAATTACATTTGTGGGCTTTACATGTGTGGAGTTCATCCTTTGTAGACCACTTGGCTTCATAACCATCTTTCCTTTGGCCCTTGAAAGACAACAGGATAGGAGAGAGTTGGCCTGGTTTGTGCTTGGGCTCTTGGGGGAAAGAGACTCCTATTGCAGCCCACTATCAGCTGAAGCCCCCTGGAAAGAACTCTCCAGCCTGCCAAGAGGAGTGACTTTCGGTCCCTGTCCCTTGTCTCTTTCAAGGAAGACAGCATGAGTAAATAGACACTATAGGCTTAGGGGACAATCAGAGGTTTCTGGAAAGACATGGACCAGCTCTGTCCAGTAGGAATGTGACACAAACTACAACGGTAATCTTAAATTTTCTAATAGCCCCATTAAAAAACTAAATATACATGGGGGAAATTTACCTTAATGTTTTATTGATATGCTAGTTTCTTGTTTTTTCATATTGAGTCTTTACTTAATATACACACACACAGCGTATCTCAATAAGGCCGGAAATAGTCAACACTCAGTAGCCACACAGGGCCAGTGGCTGCTGTCTTGGATGCTATTGGATGCCACTCTAACACTCTCCATACTTGATCCAGAAGGTTACACCTTCAAACATGACTCCAAAAGGTACTGTCTCATTGCCTAGCAAGTTCAAGTCTATTGATTTACCACAAATGAGGAGGATGCTTCTTCCTCTAATCCGTGTACCTCAGGGAGTATATATGGCCCTGAGAAACTTCTGCCAAGGCCAGAGAGCACATGGCTGAGGCAATAGGTATTGCATGTAAAGGTCAAAACAGGCAGCAGTCACGGGAGAGGGTGAGTGGCTGCTGACAGAAGTTGTGTGACTAAAGTCAAGGCCAAAACTCTGACTTCATACCCTTCTCTGCTCCTCACTGGTTACACAGAAATCTCGGTTTGTCTGTAGGATGGCAACGGCAGCAAGCAGACCTGTTTTACCAGAGGGTAGAAGGAGACTGCTCACTCATTTTCCACACTGGTGTACAGTGGTGCTTGGTGGGTCAGGCTCCTGTGGCTTTGTGATCGGCCTTTCTAGTATGAGGAGCTCAACCACCAAACATCTCTCTCCAGTGTGGAGATGATTCCTGGGATCTCTGCATATACACCCAAGTTCAGGCTCCAATCTGCCAACTTCTGTTTTCCAGAAATGAAATTTTTGCAGGCTAAATTATCTTGAAAGGCAGCTGTGCTCACCATTATACCATCAACAGCATACCATAAAATACGCCATCTCCTCACCACCCTACAATAGCATATGGGCTGAGAAAGAACACTTTCCTACCCCCCACCTATAGCCCACAGATCTTACTTGACATAAGATAACATTTCTTGCAATGATTTTTCACTGGGATGCTTTATGGTGTGTGTGTGTGTGTGTGTGTGTGTGTGTGTGTGCTCATTATATTGCATCAAACAATGTTTCAAGTTGCATATCCAATCACACTCAAATTTCTACTTACAATATCTGACTGGCACTGCTGGTAACAAGACACAGGTAGCTTGTGGCTTTGTATCTTTTCACCCATTCCGAGAAGCTAGCTTAGACAGACCATTTGCAAAATATTTCTGTACTTTGTATAATCCTAACCTGCATAGGAGCCTGAGACATGGAGTCGGGATACTCTATGTTGGTGATTGATTTGATCTTCCCATCTTCTGTGCTGATAGAACAGTTAGAGTTTGGCATTTTGATTGTAAATGTTTAGGTAAGAGGTTCTGAGAAAAATCTTTGACACTCAATTTTTAAAGTGGGGGAAGTGTCTTCAATTTCACCTGAGAAAATGGTTGGCAAGGCATCTTGTCCAATTATTAGTGCATTTTTTTGAGTCAGGTTCTCATTGTGTAGCCCTGGCTGACCTGGAGCTGACATGTAGACCATATGGCCTTGAACTCACAGAGATCCACTGGCTCTGGCTCTGGAGTACGGGGATTAAAGTTGTGTGCCACCACGACTGGCTCAATTACTAGTGCATTTAAAAAGAATCAAAACAGGGGCTGGAGAGATGGCTCAGTGGTTGAGAGCTCTGACTGCTCTTCCAGAGGTCCTGAGTTCAATTCCCAGCACCCACATGGCGGCTCACAACTAACTGACTGTGACTCCAACATCTGGCACCTTCACACAGACAGACATGCATGCAGGCAAAACACCAAAGTACATAAAATAAGAATAAATACAATCTAAAAAAGAATCAAAACATGTTCCCAGATGCGTAGGCTCTGCGTAAACCAAGGCTGATCACAAAGGACGGCTGGCTTGAAAAGCTGAGGGAAGATCTGAGAGAGACAGCTGATTGCTTGCCAAGGAAGTAGTCCTGGCGAGACCTAAGAAGCCACACCGGACATTTTCTCCTCTTCCCTCCCACATGGTCTCTAATTCTTCCCAAGTTTAAGAATAAGGTAAGAGGCTGGGCGTTGGTGGTGAACGCCTTTAATCCCGGCACTCATGAGGCAAAGGCAGGTGGATCTCTGTGAGTTCGAGACCAGCCTGGTGTACAGAGACAGCCTCCAAAGTCACAGAGAAACCCTGTCTTGAAAAACCATAATAATAATAATAACAACAACAACAACAACAACAACAATAAGGTAAGAAAATGCCATAGCTGTGCAAATTAAGGAAAAGGAAAACGGTTTCCCAACACCGTTTCTGCAGCAGAGAGCAAGGACAACAGTGCGCATGCTCGGGCACAGTGGTTTGATTTTTTTTTATAGCAGTGTTCTTCTAACACTATTCGGAAGATAGACCTACTCACGACATCTTTGCTGTCAGTCTTAGGTGAGCTGCCTGACTGTTTAATTCTCCATTTCCGTAGCTCTAAGGAAGGGCAGTAAAAATAACGCCTTCCTGGTTGGAGTGGGATGCTTTCAGGACAAGGCCTGGTGTGCAGCAGGAACTTTTTTTACAGAGGGCAGCTGCTACTCACCTGGGGGAACAGGGACCCCCATGAGTAGGAACCGAATCTGTCTCTAGTCAGATGCCTCCGTTGCTGTCTGCCCAGTGGGCCTCCACTCACCCCGCCCCGTCCACAAGGAGTGCCTCCATGGACTTCGAACAGCAATCAAAATGTACTTAGGAAACCAAAGAGGACAGGCAGTCTGGACTGGTGTTATAGCAGCCCAGCAGTCACTGGGAACAGCCCTAGAAAAGAGTCCAGAAGCCCTTCAACCCACAGCCTTTGTGTTCTGAAGCTTTTGTATTTCACAGTTGAGACTGATCTCCCAAGAGACGAATATGTCTCTTGAAAAGGTGTCAAGTCTCTTCATGAGGTGCCAAGTCTCCTCAGAGGTGACTTCTGCCTGTAGGGCTGTGGTGGGAACACTGTTACCTTGACCAACAGCTGCTTTCTCTTTGTAGTGCCTCTGCTGTGGCCTCTGCCCACACTATACCTGGACATAGTGCAGGAATGACAGCTCCGCCACTGAAAGACCAGAGCTGGTCTCAGGGCAAGGTGGTCATTTTTCAAACTGCATGTGCTGGGGCTGGCATAGCTTCCTTTCATTGTTGTCAAGAGGGAAAGCCACACTCAGGCTGGAACTCAGACTTGACTCAGGAGGAAGGTTTGGGAAATAGACGTCTTATATGCTACCTAGAATAAAACTGGGAACATTCTTGTCAGGACTCATATTAATAGGAGGAAACTGAGGCTCCAAATAGGGAAAGCCTGTGGTGTAGGGCTACAACTGGCCTCTGACCATTTTAGCACCTAATATGGTGTTTCTTCTGCATGCATGGGCTGAACTTACTCCTCCTGCTAATACCAGTCACCTCAACACCCCTTCTAGACTTTCCAGAGACGATTGCATGAGTAGGCTCACGAAGACCTAGATACTGGTGGAGTTCAAGTTCTAAGTCAGGTTCAAGTTCTGTGACCATAGGAACTGTTGTCACCCTTTCTCAACCTGTTTAACCCTGTACCACAGGGCCACCAGTGAGATTGGTGTTGTGGTTAGGATGAGCGAGACACCGTGTCAATGACAGCTACGTTCTCTATGTAAATTCCTTTATTTCCCTCTGGGACAGAAGTGCCTTCATAGCCGGCTTCACCCTGTGTGTCTTCTCAACCCATAGTGAGCTTCTGTGTGACCCTCTGTTCTTTCTAGGAGAAATGGAAGCTCCAATAGGTAACCTGGTCAGAGAGCTAGGACTAGAACATTTCTTCTAGGAAAGCTCTTTAGATCTCAAGTGTATATTTAAAAATGCTGGCCATCACCCAGTGGATTCTTGGGGAGGTGAGAGTCTTTGAATCCGCATGCCTATTGAAGACATCTGTAGTGATGGAATGTTCTATGTCTCCCTACCCAATACAGAAGCCGCTAGCCTTGTGTGGTTTTTGCGTACCTAGTGTTGGGAGTTAGAGAGATGGCTCAGTGGTTAAGAGCAGTTGCTGGGTTGGTTCCCAGCAGCCATGAGGTGGCTCACAATCATCTGTAACTCCAGTTCCATGGGATTTGACTCCTTCTTATATCTTCATGGAGTCGGGATACTCTATGTTGGTACCAGGCATGCATATAGTGCTCAAACATACATACATGCTGGTAAAAAGCTCATCCACACAAAATAAAAATAAATACATCTTAAAAATTGAGGCTAGTGCCAGTGAGGACCCCAATTGTTAGCTTGGTTTAATGGGGCTGGAGGCTTCTGTCTGAGGCAGCCCGAAGTCCATAGTTTTGCTACATCTGTAAAAGAGCTCAGTCTCCACCACTGGAGCTGGAATGGGTTCTGTGAGTGTCTGGGAATTTCCCACACATCTACTGGTGCTCAGGTATTAGATCCTTCTTCCTCTCTCCCCCTCGCTACAACTTCCCTCCTGTTGCCTAGGTCTGTGAGTGGTGAAGACCAGGAGGCATACTAGGCATGCTAGGCAAGCAACCGACCTCTGAGCCACATCTCACCCTGGAGATGTGTGGCTATAAGGTAGAGTCTGAGATGTGATTACGGTACTATTCCCCAGTCATGCAGGCCAGCAGGAAGGGTCCTAACGCACTGATCTAAGAAGTATGCTGGGCCCGAGGCCTTGGCTTGCTGAGTGCACAATCACGCCTGCAGACCTGCTAGACTCTGAATTGCTGGCATCGTAAGGCAGCCCCAGGCCATCGGGGCAGCTATCACCAAACTGCAGTACTCAGAGGGAGCCCTCTCTGTCTACACATCTCCTGGTAGCTGCATCTGCCCTGGCTCTTCTTGCTGGATTCAGGGAGAGCCGGGATGGGCAGTGGTGCTGTTAAGTTACTGTTTCTGTGTCGTTCTTGTCCTGAGAAACTGGAAGGGTCAAAAGGGGCTTAAAAGGCTTAATGTGCAGGATCAATAGGCCCATCTCACAGCATCTTGATGTTGATTTTTGTTTTCTTTTTCCCGTTCCTTCCTCCCCCTACACCCTCACCCTTCTTGTCCCCTCCCTTTTCCCTCCTTCTCTCTCTTCCTCCCTTCCTTCCTTCCCCTCCCTCCCTTCTTTCTGGTAGATCTCATTCTTTCAGGACTGTGTATCCCAGCCTATCTCAAACTCATGGGAATCCTACTACCTCAGCCTTCCAAGCGCTTGGATTACAAAAGCGATCCACCATGCCCTTTCTGTCTTAATGCTTCTCAGTTATCTGGTGCTAAATACTTTAGCAGTCCATCGAGTCACACGGAGATGCCAAACACATTTTTCTGTTTGCAAGGAAGGCGCTGGAACGGGTCTGGTTACTGCTTTGCTTACTGGCTCTCATTTTTTGAGGTCAGCACGAGGGGGTTGGGATAAAAATGTCAGGAGATGGGTGCAGCCATCCTCTGCAGAAGGCACATGGTGGCTTGGCTCAGCACCGACTTCTCTGGCCAGGTTCCCCATCTCCGAGGAGGACAGTAAGATGCTGCAGCTGCTCCAGGTGGAGGGCGAGCGCAGGGGAAGGTCCGGGACAGGAAGCTTTGGAGGAAATCAGCTCAGTTCCCACTCTCAGCTCCCACCCTCTTGTTGGGAGGTGACAGGAAGGCACCAAATGGCAATGATTTTGCAGGGGAACAGGACTGGTTATCTCTCTTGGTGAGAAAGGACTGTTGGAATGGGAAGCAACTGAGCAAGACACAAAGCACACTGCCCAATGTCAGCTCACAGCAAACAGTGACTGCGGCTGTAACAGAGCAGAGGCCATCCGCTCCTGCAGGCTGTGTGGACGAAAACCCTGAGCTGTGAGCATCTGTGGACAGCAGCATTCCCACAACCGACTCAGCAGTTACCTAGTGGGTGTGCACCAGGCTGTATGCTGAGGATGAGAAGGCGGTGTCTGTCTCATCAGGGAATCACTGAGATGGGCACGCAGGGTACACTGGGCACTGGCTCCTCCCCTTAGAAGGATGTAGGATAGACAGTCAAATGCACAGGCAAGTTGTCTCCCTGCATCTGGATGGTGCCTGTGGTTTTCTGATGCCTAACCTAGGTCTCTAGCTGAGAAGTCAGGCTGTCCCCGGTTACCTGTCTGTTCCCCAGGTGCCCTCTAAAAGGGATAGCACATATCTTCTACCTGCCTGAGCTGCAGGTTGGCCTTCCACACAGGTTGGGAAGCTGGATGTCAGGGTCCTTAGCTCTTAGTCTAGTCCCGGAAATGTGGATAGACAGTGGGGTTTGGCCTTTAGCCAAAAGGATTTGCCACAGTCATATTTCTTAAGAAACTCAGGCTAGCAGGGCCTAGCTCATGGTTACCTAGCACCCGATACTCTATATGACTCCCTAAGTGTCTACTGAATAATTAAACATAAGTGGCTATCAGGCGAATTTGGAGGCAGCCAGGTCTGCTGCTAGCCTCTTCAACATTACACAAGTTCTTAAGGCCTGTTTCCTCATCTAGAACAATGTGTAATACCTGTGACCTCAGAGAACTATATGGAGATTATATAAAAACAGACATGTATTGGGGCCAGTGAGATGGGAGGGTAAGGGTGCCTGCTGCCAAACCTACTTACCTAGACCCACATGGTTCAAGGAAAGAGCTGACACCCACAAATTGTCCTGTGGTTTCCACACATGCACAATACACAATAAATGAATACAATAGAATGAAAAATAGCATGTATAAAAAGCCTGTCAGAGTCCCTGTGTGACCTGTAGTAAGTCCCTAAATACTAGGGGTTATTCTCATTAATAATATGTTCTAGTCATCATTTGAACGGATGATAATACTATTAAGGTGCACGAGCAAAGAAGTAAAGGCTATTTTTACACGGTGGCCAGGGGGAACTTGCTGAAGTGTCTATGTGTCTGCTCTGCATCCCCTGGAATGTGCCAGTTCCCTTCCACTCCCCCCACTACCCCATCCTGTAGCCGCAGTCCTCAGTATTGCAAGATTGTATTGGAGGCAAGGTCAGGCCAGCTGGCATTCACGGAGAAAGCATTTTCTTCCTTGTGGAAACCAGGGCTTTGGGGTTAACCTCTCACCAAGGACGGTTGCATAAGGCTGCAAGCTAACATTAGTGGGTGAGCCAGGGCGCAGCGATGGGAAGTGCGCCCTGAGTGCTTTAACCGTCTTGGTGGGATGTTCGGGGCTGACAGCCCACCCAGGCCTCCTAGAGACGAGGAAGTGGAAAGTATCTGGCTCTGCTGCCGGCTGGACACCTGGCAGATGACCAAGCAGTGGGTAGAAAATAACTCATGTCTGGAGCTGGCAGACAGGATTTGGGGGAGGGTGGGAATGCCAAGCCTGGGCTTGAGGTCTCAGGCCTAGGCCACCTATGGAGCATATTTTTGAGGACTCCTCTCTGGCTCCTGCATCTGGTAGTAAGAATGCTGGCCTTTGTGATGGAAGCCACTTCATGCCTGGCCCAGCCATTCACAGAATAGCTAGGAGGGTCTCCAGAGACCTTCGGCCTCCTCGTTTTACAGTTAAGAGACCTGCAACCCAGACTTCTCTGAGCCTTTCAGGGGACCACTTACCCAGTGGTCATTGAATGTGATTTTTTAGTGTCAACCCTGCAGGCACTGCAGCTAAGAGGCCGCTCCTTCACAGCACAGGGAGCACCCCCAGGGAGCACCATAGGAGCCGATATTCCAGATTGTTTTATGGAGGGACTGGTAGTTTATCCACGGTAATCTCGACCTTGGATGGTTTCCAGGGAAGCTGCCTCTGCCCGTTCACGCTGGCCTTTTGTAAAGTAAATAGGCTGGAGTCGCCATGCCGTGCAGCTGGCTCTCTGCTGTGTCTAGGAGTTTTTGTGGGAGAGGATTGCAGGCAAGCAGGACTGACGCACATGCAGATTCTCTAATTCACAGTGATGTGGGGAGTTTGTGGAATGTCGACAGGGGAGCAGAGTCTCGCTTACAGCCCACCAGGGAAAGGCTCTGCTGAAACCTGAGCTGCATCTCCTGGGCCGCAAGTCCTCAGAGGACAGGACTGGCTGGCTTAGGTTTCTCTGTGAGCAGTGGGGCTGTGGATCCCTCAGAGATACTATGCTGTTTCTCAAAGGTCACTGCAGGGCTTGATTTGGTTTTGCCTGAAGATGAGAAACCACCAAGCCCCACCTGGAACCAGTGTTCACACCTATTAGTTTCATGTCTGTGGCAGGGACTCTGAACAAGTGAAACCTAGAAATGGTCCCAGATGGGGAAAATATTTGCTTTTGGAAATTTTTTTCCTTTGAATTTTTGCACGTGGGAACTAGGAATGATGCAAACAGGAAAACTGGCCACTGACTTTAAAGCCTAACCAATATCATTTATGTCCTTTCTTTTAAGTCCCTTCATCATAACAGTGCAGAGAAATGCACAAATGTGGAGGTAGGTTCAGACTTGAAGGTACTTATAGGAGCTTGGTGGGTCTGAGATGCTGGCCAGAGCCACACACTCCTAGGTGTGTGTGTGTGTGTGTGTGTGTGTGTGTGTATGTATGTATGTATGTATGTATGTATGTATATGTGTGTATGTGTGTGTGTGTTTTGAGAGAGACACAAGAGAGAGACAGAGAGGCAGAGACAGACAGACATACACACACACACTCACACACACAGAATGTGATGTATGTACATGGTATATATGCATATGTGGAGGCCAGAGGAAGGCACTGAGTGTCCTCTATCACCCTACCTTATTCCTTTAAGATAGGGTCTCTCCCTGAACCTGGAGCTCACAGCCTACAGGTCTGAGAAATCTTCGTGTCTTTGCCTCCCACAGTGCTGGGGTTACAGACACATGTGCACCTACTCCTGTCTTGTCACATGGATACTAGGATGCAAACGGGTCCTTATGGCTGTACAGCAAGTGCCCTAAGCCATCAAGCCATCTCACTCATTCACTTATTCAGCCATTCACACCGGGGACTTCGTACACAAAGGGCTTAGCCTGGGCACTGTGAGCAGTCTCTCACTTTCAGCATTGATGACATTTTGGGGCTGGGCTAACTGTTGTGAGAGGCTCTCTTAGTCATAGAAGATGTCAGTACCATCCCCCAAATTATGACAGGCAAAATGTTTCCACGGGTCTGGGGAAATAGCAAACTCTATGTAAGCCTGAAGACCTAAGTTTGATCCCAGCACCCATGTGAAAATCTTATAATCCCAGCACTGGAAAGGCAGAGATAGCCTGACCAACACTGATTCGTAGAGCTGACTGGCCAGCCAGCCTAGCCTAGTTGGTGATCTCTAGGTCCAAAAACAAAATGGACAGGACTGGAGAGATGGTCAAGTGGTTAAAAGTTCTTAATACTCTTCTAGAGAACCCAAGTTCAGTTCCTAACACCCACATCGGTCAGCTCACAATCACCTGCGTGTTAGTTAGGGTTCTTATTGCTGTGAAGAGACACTATGACTGTGGCAAGGCCTATAAATGAAATCATTTAATTGAGGCCACAGCTCACAGTTTCAGAGGTTTAGTTCATTATCATCATGGTGGGGAGCATGGCAGTGTGCAGACAGACATGTGCTGGAGTGATAGCTCAGAGTCCTATGTTTTTCTGGCAACAGGAAGTCGACTGAGACACTGGGCAGTATTCTGAGCATAGGAAACTTCAAAAAATGCCCCTATAGTGACACACTTCCTCCAAAAAGGCCATAACCAACAAAGCCACACTTCCTAACAGTTCCACTCCTGATGAGATGATGGGGGCCAATTGCTTTCAAATTACCTCAACATGTAATTCCAGTTCTGAGTGGATCTGCTGTCTCTGGCTTCCAGGGTCACCTGCATTCCTGTGCACATACCTATGCACAGACACACTTACATACATATACTAAAAATATTAAGAATATCCAGGTGGTGGTGGTGCATGCCTTTAATCCAAGCACTTGGGAAACAGAGGCAGGTAGATCTCTGAGTTCAAGGCCAGCCTGGTCTACAAAGCAAGTTCTAGGATAGCCAAGGCTACACAAAGAAACCTGTCTCAAAATAACAATAACAACAGTAGTCATAATAATAATCTAAAACAAAATGAACAGCATCTAGGGAATAGCACCTGGGTTGACCTTTGGTCTCTTCATGTACATGCCTGCACGTAGATACACATGCTCCCCAAGTCTCGGAGGGGGCAAACTGCTCTCTGCAGAGCCACAGGTCACGATTCTGATGCCTAAGACATGACTCCTTACAGTAGGAGCGTCTCCTGGGAGCTTGTAGAAATTCAGTGTTTCAGGCACTACCTCAGGCCTGCTTAGTCTTAGTGAGCATCTGTATTTTAGCAATGTACTCAGTGACCTCTCACCCACAGAACATTGCTGCCCATGTAGCCCTCCTATTTTGGCTGCACATTGGCTTATTCCGAGGAACTTCGAAAAATGAGGCTGGCATAGCTCTATGATACTGTATTTACCTAGCAAGCTCAAAGCCCTGATATCAATTCCAATTAAAAGATGGCACCAAAACCCCAAGGCTGTTCCCTACCTCCCAGCCCCAGGGTCTCTGCTTGAACTGACACAGTGCATGCAGGATTTGGAAGGCTTTAACCGTCCAAGCTGCATCTGCCCCGTAGGCTTTCTCTGTTTATTGTTTAGTGAAGATGACCTGTATGCATTACCGCTATGGAGAATGCATGGAGACCTCCCTCACCTCAGTGTTGCCAGACCCGGAAGCACTGCTGTCACATGTTTTGATTTCCATCCTTGCCCTGATATCACATGAACACATGCTTCTGTTTCCTGGAGAAAGCTTTTTGTCTGTCAAGGAAGACAGTATGGCTTCTGCCTTCTATGTATGCAAGATGGATTTGAAGTTTAGACTGGGTTGAGTTCAAGAACAAGAGCACCTTGTCCCTGTGAGCTAGGTCAACACCTTGCTGCTATCCTCATATTGGAGCAATACAGGTATAAACCATTTGGTGTGGGCTTCACATGTCCAAAGGAAAACCCAGTGACCGCAGGGTTTTTGAACTTTTGGATAGAAAGCTACCTTCAAGGGTCTCATTCCTTGTGTATTTTGGGTTCAAGGCTGACATTTCATCTTAACATGGGTGGAGGCAATGGCTAAAGTTTTTAGAATGCCTGGAGGAAGAAAATGTCTTTCTGCCCTACAACTGAGCGTTGCTAGGTGGCAGTTGAGGAATTGCTAAACAACACTTCATGGACTGCGAGGACTTAGCTCAGAAGCCCAAGCAGTGATTCTTTCTAGAGAAGATAATGAAAAGTTCCTTCAAGTGCACCAGTGAAATGGATACTGTGAGTGTGAGGGCTGAGCCCATATGACATGAGGGAGGGCATTCTGCTATGGTGTCCTCACCAGGTCTGCAGAACATACAGAAATGTTACAAAAATCCCTTCATTCCTGTGGGCTGGGGAAGAACATAGGTTCTGTAGACACACAGCCTTGTTCTGGGTGGCCTTGTAATGTCATTGCTGTAAGCCTGGTTCCTCCTGTGTCAACTATGGGTCATGGCCATTCCTACCACAAGGTTCACTGTGAGAATTAAAGGAGAGCAGAGGCACAAAGTGGAGTTAATGCTGTGTAAGCATGAAGACCTAAGTTGGAATCTCCATTACTCACGCAGACGTCAGGGGAGGTGGTGTAACCCCGGTGCTGGAGGGTGGAGACAGGTCAATCCCTGAAGATGGCTGACCAGACATTCTAGCCAAATTCATGAATTTCAGGTCCACTGAGAGACCCTGACTCAGAAAATGGTGGAGAGTGACTGAGGAAGATGCTTGACATTAACTTCTGGCCTCCATACATACGTGGACACACACACACACACACACACACACAAGCCTACCTGATCTACAGTGCACTTTTGAAAGGAGAGGAGGTGTCCTTTGGTTCCATCATGGTGGGGAATACATAGCAGCAGGCAGAGAAGGCATGGTGGCAGGAGCAGGAGGCTGGCTTGTCACACTGCCTTCACACTTAGGAAGCAGAGTGTAAACAGGAAACGGGGCCCAGCTATAAAGCCACACTCAGTGACTCACTTCCTCCAATGGAGCTGTAGCTCCTGAAGACTCAAGCCTTTCCAGATAGCACCCCAGCCTTTGAGGTTTCAGGCTATGGTTGATTGGCTCCATAGTTCTAGACCTGCGGTGAGGAAGCAGATGATGGTGAAAGCACACTATGGATCAAATCTGCTCGCTTCATGGCTAAGTAACTTGCTTGTTATAAATGGTGTTGCAGAGGGTTGATGGGCAGGGATAGAAGATGCAGAGAACAGCTGGTGCAGCTGAAGACTGGCCCTGAAAGGCTCTCATCCACTTCCCAATGCAAAATGCATTCAGTTTGCCTGTATGAGCTGCTTTGGCAGCTTACGGGTCCCAGTGCTGAGCAAGAGCCACGTTCAAAGTCTCCTTTAAGATCCAAGGCAAACTCTTAGCTGCAAACAATGGTTTCAAAGACTTCTCTACGTCATGGTTAGCTATGGCCATATCAATGCTATTTCTTGATTCCTGTGTTGGTCAGTTCTCTATGGCTATGTACTGTACAGTTGCAGAGAGTGAGGCCACAATGGTGGGAAGGTATGGCAACAGGCGCAACAGCAGGAAACTGACTGTTCACATTTTATCTGTACACGGGAAGCAGAGAAAGCCAAACACCATTTTAAAATAAGGACTTCTATTGTTTTTTATTTTCTTTAACTGATAAATTAGTGGGGAGGGCACAGAGAAATCCTAAAGTAATACCAGCTAGTTATCTGAAACTCAGCCAATGTCTTCCCTCTTCTGGAAAACTCCCCATACCCAAAACTGGGTTAAATGTTCATTTTCAGTCTGTGCTGGACGGCAGTCATCCTCTCCTGGTGGTAGGACTGAGCATAGAAGCCTCGATGCATATGACTTAGTCCCAGTGCTTTGCAGGCAGCAAAGTTTACACCTAGTCCTTTGTGCACCACGAGGAAAGAGAGAGACAATGCTCACAGGTTCCAAAGATTCTAATAAATCGTCACGTAAGTGGGTCATTGACCAATCAGGGCTGCAGGACAAGGACTCGGGAGCCTTTTTTCTTCTGAGAGCCCCGAGCTGGGGCAAAAGTGGGGCTTATAAGCATAAAATTCACAAACATTTGTTGCCAAGTTGCAGTTACAATTTTCACTAATCAGAAATCAAAGATTAGGGAAGTTTTTGACTGTTCCATCATTGTCAACTGATATACAGGGCAAGCCATTCAGTCCAACCAATCAGATTAATTTGTTCCTTCTGTGCTCAGGAGCAGCTGTAATGTTGCTAGAGAACTAAAGATGCCGAACAACTATTTCTATGGTTTAAGGAGGAGGTTGGTCAGCCATTGGAAAGTCCTCAACTTCCCTAGGGCTTGGGAACTTTACTTCACCCTGCTGGTAAAATGAAGTCCGAAGTCAAAATGGCAGTCCTCAGGCCAACGTGCTTTTGCCTGCTCCTTTCACAAAGGACAGTGGTACTCCATCAGTGCTCTGGTGTGTGTGAATGCCCAAACCTGAGGCCTGTGAGTCTCTAGAAATAACGTGATGGAAATTCCGGTCCCTATTCCTAAGTGTTCCTCTGTGTTCATTAGCATTATCAAAAAGATAGACTTTGCAGTGAACTTTCAGCCGGCTAACAAGGAGTGGTTTTTTTTTTTTTTTTTTTTTTTTTTTGTCTAGGGAGGCTTGGCCTCCGTCCTGCATTGTATCATCCCTGTCAGTTACCCCTCCCATGTTTCCTGATATAGACCTCATCACAAGGATTTCTCTGTGTATAAAATTGTGGCATTGCTAGCTCAGAAGTATGGTAACAACCATGGAGGGGTCCTTGGTCCAATGGGGAAGAAGCAAGTCCTTGGATAGAATGGAAATTCTTTCCAGCCTTTTGCAAGATCTTCTAGTGTTACTCAGTGCAGGGCGCTGACATCTGCTGGTATTCCAGGTTTCACACTCCTGTTTCCCACCTGTCCACTTAGAATGGAGCTTGACTTTCCAGGCAGGGTTTTGTCTTCAACATCTTTATGTCCCTGCGGGCATCTGGAGTGGTGACAGTAGGTACTCAGTGATTTAATCAGTTAATGGTGACTTCTTTGTTGGCCTAGTCTGAGTGCAAGTGTCTAGCCTGCCTTCCATTGCATTCTCAGCCCACGCTATTTGTCCCTTCTCAGCAGGGTATTAGCAGAGGCTGTAAACAGAACAAAGTCTTCATGGTGGACAGGATCAGAAGACTCTACTCCTCTCTCATTCCTTCTCCCTCCTACAGTTAGAAGGACCTCTGTGACTAAACTGGGTTCATTGGGACACCTGGATAAACCAAATGAATCCCCTTATTTTAAGGTCAGATGATTAGCACTTAATTCCACCTGCAACCATACTTTTCTTTGCCATTTTTCTAGTTTCTTTTCTATTGGTATGATAAAATATCTTGGCCAAAAGCAACTCAGGTGAGGTGGAGTTTAATTTAGCTAACAGTTCCAGGTCACACTCCATCGTTAATTGAAACCAAGGCAGGAATTTAAGGAACTAACTACTCACTCCTCATCCACCACAGTTAGAGGGAACAGAGAAAATGATTTCAGCCTGCTTGTGAAGTACTCGGCTAGCCATCCTACTCTTAATAGTCCAGTGCCCCAAGCCAGGAAATGGTGCCACCCACAAGACTGGATCTTTCTACACAAATTAACTCTCAAGATAATCCCATATATACAAGCCCACAGGCCAACCTGGGATCTAGATAATCCCTCAGTTGAGACACTCCCCAGGTGATTTCAGGTCCTGTCAAGTTGACAGTTAAAACTAGCCAGCACATCCTTGTTCACAGAACATAGTCACAGACTGGAGGAGGGAGGAGATGCAGCAGGAGGAAGGGACTAAGATATGGACATCCTTGGGAGGGGGGTGCCTCATTCTGATTTCCAAGGAGAGCAGAGGACCCTTCCTCTGCCATAAAGGTTATGTAGTTGCCACCTGGGGGAGAGGGTTTCACATGGGAAAGGCCTGGCATCTCAAGGACATCTTTGCCCATCTGGAGAGCTCAGGCTCACAGGCCAGCTGATGGGAATGTTTGTGCCCAAGGCAGGTGGTTCTGAACTGCATAAACCACCCAGTAAGCCGCAGGTCTGTGATTTCTGTCTCAAGCTCCTGCCTTGAAGGCCTTCAATGATAGATTGGAAAGCGTGAGCTGAAATAAACTCTTTTCTTTCCCAAGTTGCTTTTGGTCAGTGTTTTATCACAGCACAGAAAATCAAACTGGGACACTTGGGAAATAACTGATGGTACATGTAAGCAAACCAGTAGATTGGGGTCCTAGTTTGTGAAATGAGCACAATAATACAATAGCAATATACTCATCACAAGGGAGTGAACCTGCAATCTATTAAATGGTCCTCAAAATGTGACCTTAAAAAGTGGTGGGGTTTTTTTGTTTTGTTTTTTTCTGAGACAGTGTTTCTCTGTGTAGCTTTGGAGCCTGTCCTGAAACTCACACTTTAGACCAGGTTGCCTGGAACTCAGGGAGATCCACCTGCCTCTGCCTCCCGAGTGCTGGGATTAAAGGCATGTGCCACCACTGCCCGCCCAGAAGTAGTGGTATTCTTTAAAATACAGAAAATATTTTTTGTGGCTGTGAGATCTACAAATCCTACTAGGGAATTCTCACCTGGGACTCTCCATCCTAGGGCGTCTGTGTCTTTAAGGGGAAGAAAGGAAGTGTTGAGTCACTGTGAGTCTTCTGCCCTTTGGTCCCTGAGACTATAAAATATAGCAATGTTTTCTTTGACACAAACCTTAAAATAGGAAGCCTGACACCCACATATAGCCGCATTCTCTTCTCAAGTGGGGTCTAGTAACAGAATTTCCAGAGAAAAGGTGTGTGGGCAGGGAAGTACCACTTATGTGTACGAAAGGGATGCAAGCGAAAGAGTTCATTTCACTCTAAAAGGAAAAACAAAAAACAAAAACAAATAGAAAAGTACACAGTCCCTAGAAATAAAGAGCAGGCAGGGCAGCAGCTGTGCAAAGTTTACTGAAAGTTTCTGTGGCTAAGCGTCCGGAAGGCGGGCGGGCGGGCGGGCAGAAGACAAGGCCAGAGTGTGGTTCCAGGTAGTGTCTTGCCTCCCCCCCCCCCCCAAGCTTCTTGCTAAGTAAGGTTTCTCCCGCTAGCAGGCAGGAGCCAACCCCGCCCCAGCTCTGGGCTTCAATCCTTCCTTCACATAGAGGAAAGCGCAGTGGAAAAAAGACTAACAAGTAACAAGTTGTTGTGACTCAAAACCTCCTGGAAGAAGTCGGCAGGGCGTTCGGGAGACGGCCTGTCCTTGGGTCCCTTGCCTACCGGTGCGCTTCGGGCGGGCCCCTGGGTGCGTGTGGGCGCGCCGGGCTGCACATTCCTGGCCAGGGAGGAGAGCGCGGCGGGCGCCCCTGCGAGCAGCTGGCTGCGCTGGCCCCGAGCGCTCGGAGCTGGGGGAGGAGCCTGGCCCGGTCGCCGGCGCTCTCCCAGTCATTGGCCTTTTGTGCTGCAACTTTTCCCGAGCCCTTCGAGAAGCCTGCGCCCGCCCCTCTCTGTTGCCCCAGGCAAGTTTGCGTTTCCTGGGTTCACCCGGTGGGGACCGCACAAGGCTCGGAGGACTCAGCCTGTCTGGGGGACTCTTTGGCAGTTGCATCCCCGGAGGAAGGTGGCTACGTGAGGACCAGCCGCGGTCGTCCGGTAAGTGCGCAGCGGCCACGGCGGGCGCACGTGGGGTCAGGGAGGAGACAACCGACCCCCAGGACCTTGGCCGCCAGACAAAGCCGTGCTAGAAGGGGCTGCAAAACTCCTTTCAGCTTTCCTAAGAGGGACTTGTGTAGGATCTGAAAGTATCAAAGTACGCATTGTGTTCCCTGCTGGCAGAGGCGTGTGTCTGTCAGGGAACTGGCGGGACCCAAGCGTCTGTCCCAGAGAATGGTTCCCCTGAGTGGGTCACCAGGAGTCAGTGCCTGTGGGTTGAGTGTTGGCGTCCTCTAGGTTTCGGGGAGGGTGCCCTTGTCCAGAGGCTGCTTCCTTGCCATCTCCGCTGGCCTCTTTTTTCCTATTCGTGTTGGTCACACGGGGTCTCTTGGGAGCACCTTTGGCAGCCACTTGGATGCGTGTGGATGAGTCTTAAAGATCTGCACAGGATTTCCTCCGAGTTTGAGACTTTTAAATTCTCGAACAGTTACGTCAGCACAGCCGAGTGCACTTCTGGGCTCTAGCGCAGCACGTGACCCAGCCTAGCTTCCCCCTAGGCGTCCTTAGCTCAGCTAGGCTGCCACAGGGTTCTCTGACTTTGGATGTCTTACACACACAGCCTCGGGAGTGTTGGGGTTGTCCAGGAACACCCCTCTGTTTGGCTGCTCTTCTCCTGACTTTGTCCAGCGTTGGTCTTTTCTTAAAAACTGGCGACACGACACTGTTGTCTTCTGGTATCAAATGCAGAGGCAGAAATTTGTGGTAGCTGGTTGAAACAGAACTAGAACATGATGGGAGTCGATAGAAGCCTACTGAAGAGGAGACAGGGCAAGGGGCTTGCTGAGTGTGCACATGTGACCACCCCAGGCCCCTACTGAACAGCACATGGAAAACTGAGGGTCCCAGGGCAGACAGCTGTCTGTTTTTATGCCAAGGGAATAAACCTTTCTCTTAGGAAGTGGAGAGCGCTCCCCATTCGTTTCTCTGATTCCCTGTGGAGGCCACATTTCAAAAGCACGTTCTTTTATATGAAGCAATGGCTTTGGCCGGTTTTCATCCGTTCACATCCACATGTAGATAGTAGAGGCGAGTCTTCACTCTTTAGGCTGGCAGTTGGAAATCGGAAGGGACACGAGGGCTGGCTGTGCTGGACTGTGAGTGGAAGGATTCCCACGGGTCTCTTCTTCACAGGCCCAGCCCTGCCCTAGGCATTTCCCTCTAAGGATACTTGGAGCAGGAAATAGGCCAGCAGCTGCCCCCTTAGGCAGTCACCAGAGTGGATTCAGTCTCCAGGCCTCCTCCTCCTGCTCTCACTCCAAAGTTAGGTCCTGAGCTGGGCGCATTGCTGGGTAATCAAAGCTACTCAGGATGGAGTGTTGAATGTCAGCCGGCAAGGCATAACAACGCCTGTCTTAAAAAGAATTTCTGAGGTTAGCTCAAGCTTCAGATTATGCCCATGGAATATGGCCTGCTTGTATTCCAATTATTCATATACAGTCATTTTTGCTTATGGAAGTCTGCAGGTCAACTGCTGGGCCCCGTGAAACCTAGATAGAATTAGTCCCTGCCCCTCTGTTCACCTCATCCCTGACTCCAGTGCTTGAGCACTTGGACTGTTTAAACTGGAAGGAAGCTTCAAGATCAAGGCTTCCTGTAAGTTTTGAAAAAGAAGCCTCAAAGGAGTCCAAGATCTCATCCCGGGTCACACTTCAAAGTGGGCTCCAGTGTAGGACCTGCCCTGATGTTATTGGTGCTAGGTCCCTCAGGCAGCCTCTCCGGTTTTATTTGGTATTGCACTGGCCTTATTTGTTTGTTGTTTCTATGGAGACAGGCTCCAAATGAGGAAAGACACATCCAGTTTACAGAACCACTCTGATAAGTGTTGGGGCCCAGAGGGGTTGATGGCAGTTGAATTAAGTAAGACAAAACACCTGACTTCAAGACTTCAAGGGTGCAGAGGGGGAGGGGAGAGGTGTAGCTGTATCTGAGGGAGGGTTTTGGTTGGGGCTGGAGCTCCCTGGAAGGGATATCTGACAACACAGAAGGGTATCCCTGGTTGTCTTGGTGACTGAGTGCACTGTAGGCATCTGGTGGATGAGAGTCGGGCTATGCATGGGGCAGGCCTGCACAACCTGGAATTGCTACTCAAGTACCAGTAGTGATGTATGTAGAGGGCTCTGCCAAGATCACAGGAATTCGAGAGATACTTTTTAGGAGGATGAGGAGAGGAAGCTGTGGCTGCCAGGTTCCAAGCTGTAGGTGTGGATGAGGCTAGCCTGCCAGGAGAGCTTGGTGAAGAGAATTGGCATACCGGTGAGTACCAGGATGTGTGTTTCCTGGGATTTGGTTTCTTGATCAAGGTAAAGCGTCCTTGGATCATTGTGGTTGGTCTGACAGACTCTTGCACCTGTGCACAGATAATCAGAAGGTTTGAGAAGTTGGCAGAGTCAATGGCTGAGGCTGTCAGGAGGAGCAAACCTAAGAAAGAGAATGCTTCAGGGCCAGGTCCCCTGGTCTCTCCCACTGTGAGCCATGTCTGTGAACTCCAACTTGGCGATAGATTTTTCTGCCTCTGCCCCATTGAGGCCACAGTCCCTGGTTTATAACCTCAATAATCATTTCCACAGCAACTCCATGGGATGAAAAAACATGCCACAGATTATGAAATCATTTGAGAGAAATGAGAGGCGTGAAAACAAAGACCCAGGGAAACAAAAGTTTGCAAAGCAAAGCCTCTAAAAATAGAGTAATGATCTCAAGAAAGTGTAGTGTTTAACCGTGGTGGAGGTTCCACTGCAGATACGGGGGCGCTCAGCACCATCCCCCTCTGCCTCCTGTGTGCACTGTGTTACAGGGTTTCAACTTCTCATTTAGCTAATGGATTCAGGCCTGCCAGTTAAGAGAAAGCAAAGTTCCCAAGACTCATTTCCCCTGGGGTGGGGAGGGGCAGTGGAGAGATTGCCTAGAGTTTAGAGACATAGACTCAATCTTAGGAGCCCCGTCTCTCCTCTTACCAGCTATGTGACCTCGAGGAAGTCTCCAACCATCTAGGAGTGTCTTTCCTTCTCTCTAATTAATGGTGGGGGTAGTTATCCTGGCCCCTCTGCTTCACTGAGCTGTGGATGCTGGTGAAGTCACATACATGAATTTCCTGGCAAACTGTAGAGTGCTTTGCAAAGGAACAGCCGCTTGTGTTAGTATTTTTACCTTATACTTAAAGGTGCCTGTTTATTGGAGGTAGATTTCCTGACATCTCCTGTACTATATTTATTATTTTATAATTATTATGAGTTACTACTGTGAAATGTAAGCAAGGAGCTACACACATTAGAAGCTACTGGCTGACCTTACTCTCTAGCTGGACTCCCTTACAGGTTCCCTGGATCTAATACAGATAACGGATGTGAACCCGATTCTGCTCACAGAGGGCAGATCTAGGTGGAAGGAGCGGGGTAGAGAAAGCCTTGCTTTATTGGCTCACTTCTCCACTGTCTTCAGCACCCTCGGTTCCTCTCATCTGGGGTCCTGTCCAGACTAAATCCCTCAAGGTCCATGAGCCATCTCCCTGTCAGTCACCATTCTTGCCTTTAAGGCTCTTGAGGGCATGGGGGCTTCAATCATGCCTGTTCCCTAGAGGAACACATTCCGGACGGACATTCAGAAGCTCTGTCCTGTCAGGTCAGTAGCATCTTTTCCTGGTATTGTGCACACAGCCCTTCCTTAGCTCCAGGCTTCCTGTGGCTTTTGGTGTCCAGCTCCCTTTTTCCAATGCTACCTCTTCAACCTTGACTGAACTGTGTCCATCCCTTGAGGTACCTGGCCTGGGAGTGTTTTCTAGACAAACCTACTTATGCTACCAGAACCCTATGTCAGGTTCTGGGAGGCCCTTCTGGCTTTGGGGAGACCCCTGTGGTTTGAAGAGGCAGTTGAGTTCTGGAAGAGATGATTGCTTGTCCTGGAGGGGGCCATTTCAATTCATCATGGGGTAATTGCCTTCAAGGGTGACTTTGTCTGGCATTTGGAAAATGTCATATGCCCTTCTTGGTGTCTTCAGCCTTGAAGTAGGCCCAGAAAGGGTCAGTAAACTTAGGACCAATCAGCTTTGTATTAGCAATTCTCAGACAGATGCCCCTTCAGTGAGTAGCATGTTTATGAACAGGAATCTGACTCAGAGGTTACAGCAGCCAAGACAGACGGTTGTAGGCCCAAGTGAGAAGTCAGTGCTTTTAGCCGGAGCTGCCTCCACAGCCTGTCCTGTGGTCTGTCATGTCTCAAAGTCTGTCCCCTCGAGGTCTCACAAGACCCTGCCTCATTTTTCTCTGTGCTCAGCACTCAGAGCTGCATAGAAATTCCTTGCTGGCTCCAGTCAGGGACTCAACCTTCTTGTGTGACAGGGAGAATACCGGGTAATTTTACTGCTTGTGTGGGTTTAGAACTAGAGAAAAATCTGTGATTCTGATACTTTTTATTTTGTTGTTAATTGCAGAGTTGCCTCCTGAATGCATCAAAATGTTGGAGGCCTCTGCCCAGCCTTCAGCTCATTACTTATGGGCTGGATGTCTGTTCTCAGCTCAGGCAAGTTAGAGGGGTGTTGGTTCTGGCCTGAATGAAGTGGCAGCCAGAAAGAGCCAGGACAGCTGTTAATATTATTGCCCACAACTGCTCACTGACAACTCATGGTGAGATGAGTGCCATCCCTTCCTTATGGATTTTACTGTATAGACCGGACTGGCCTGGAGCTCACTGTGTAGCCCTGTAGTCCAGGCTGGCCTCCAACTCACGGTCTTTCTGTCTCTATCTTCCTAATGCTGAGGTTACTGGTGTATGCTCCCACACCTGGCTAAACTATGTTTTTAAACCATGGTTAAACAAATCACTTGGCTTAAAGTTTTGCATCTTAACTATACAGCTAAGTGTACAGTCAGCAGTGTTGATTGTGCTATGGTTGTATAGTCAGATTCCGAACATTCACTCACCTTATCAGTCTAAACTCTCTCTCTCTCTCTCTCTCTCTCGCTCTCTCTCTCTCTCTCTCTCTCTCTCTCTCTCTCTCTCTCTCTCTCTCTCTCTCTCTCTCTCTCTCTCTCTGGCAACTAGGTCCTCTTCCTCCTCTCCCACTACCTGGTAGCCACCATTCTATTTTTATTTCTATGAATTTTAATATTTTTGTTGTTAATTTCTTTTCACTTTTTTTTCAGAAACAGTCAAGTAGCTCAGGCTGGCCTCTAACTCACTGCAGCAGAGGATGGCTTTGAATCCTTCTTCCTTCTGCCTCCATCTTCCGAGTGGATTAGCCTGTGCCATTGGCTCGTTTTATTCTGTGCTGGGATGGATCCCACAGCTTTATGCATGCTGGGCAAACACTCTCCCAGCTGAGCTACATGCTCAGTGCCCTTTCATGATTTTCAGATACTGCACTTCATCCTTCTGTTTCAGCTTCAGAAACAGGGTCATAATAAATTAATGAGCTTGCCTTAGATGACGAA